AGGTCGTGGAAGCTCCATAGACACATCCAAACTCCCTGAGGGACCGAATTGCTAGGCTGAGGGCTGTGGGGACCATGGTCTTGGGGAACATCTAGCTCAAGTGGCATAACATAGTTTATAAAGAAAATGTTCTACATTCCACCTTGGTGAGTAGTGTCTGGGGTCTTAAAAGCCTGTGAGCAGCCATCTAAGATACTCCACTGGTCTCACCCCTTTGAGAGCATGGGAGAATGAAGAAAACAAGATACAAGGGAAAGATTAGTCCAAAGGACTAACGGACCACAACTAGCATGGCCTCCACCAGACTGATTCCGGTACAACTAGAGGGTGCTTGGCTACCACCACTGACTGCTCTGACAGGGACCACAATAGAGGGTCCCGGGCAGAGCTGGAGAAAAATGTAGAACAAAATTCTAACTCACAAAAAAAGACCAGACTTACTGGCCTGACAGACTGGAGAAACCTTGAGTATGGGCCCCAGACACCCTTTTAGCTCATAATGAAGTCACTCCCGAGGTTCACCCTTCATCCAAAGATTAGACAGCCCCATAAAACAAAACCAGACTAAAGGGGCACAACAGCCCAGGGACAAGGACTAGAAGGCAGGAGGGGACAGGAAAGTTGGTAATAGGGAACCCAAGGTCAAGAAGGGCGAGCGTTGATATGTCGTGGGGTTGTTAACCAGTGTCATAAAACAGTACGTGTACTGTTTAATGAGAAACTATTTGTTCTGTAAACCTTTATCTAAAGTACAATTTAAAAAAATTTAAAATAAATAAAATCAGAGAAAAAATAAAGCAACGTATTGCATTGGGAAGATCTGCTGCAAAACATCTTTTTCAAGTGTTAAAAAGCAATGTCACTTTGATGACTAAGGTGCGCCTGACCCAAGCCATGGGTCCATAGCCTCATCTGCATATGAAAGCAGGACAATGATTAAGGAAGACTGAAGAAGAATTGATGCCTTTGAATTATGGTGGTGGCAAAGAATAATGAATATACAATGGACTGCCAGAAGAACGAACAAATCTGTCTTGGAAGCAGTACAGCCGGAATGCTCCTCAGGATGGAGAGACTTCGTCTCATGTACTTTGGACATGTTATTAGGAGGGACCAGTCCCTGGAGAAGGACATCATGCTTGGTAAAGTAAGGGGTCAGCGAAAAAGAGGAAGACGCTTAATGAGATGGGTTGATACAGTGGCTGCAACGATGGGCTCAAACATAGCAACTTTTATGAGGATGGCACAGGACCAGGCCGTATTTCATTCTGTTGTACATAGGGTCACTATGAGTCGGAAATGACTCCACAGCACCTAACGATGTAACAAGTTGTGCCTATAGACAAAAAATAGTAAGTTAAAAAAAAAAAAAAAGGAAAAGCAAATCCTGTTAACTTTATTTTTTGTTTATAGGCAGGGGAAAGACCACTACTTTTTTAATGAGGTGAAATATAACACAAAACGAACCATTTTAAAGTGAACATTCAGTGGCATTTAGCAGTGTTTTGCAACCATCACCTGTATCTAGTTCCAAAACATTCTCACCACCCCAAAACCCCACACCCATTAAAGTTATTCCTATTCCCCCAGCTTCTGGCAGCCACCAATTTGCTTTCTGTCTCTATGGATTTACCTATTCTGGGTATGTCATACGAACACAATCATATGTGGCCTTTTGTACGGCTTCTTCACTTAGCGTGTTTTCAAGGTTCATCCATATTCTAATACTTATCAGTACTTAATTTCTTTTTATGGCTAAATAATATTCCATCGTATGTATATGTACCACGATTGGTTTATCCATTCATTCGTTGATGGACATTTGGATTGCTTCCACTTTTTGGCTATTATGAATAATGCTGCCATAAACATTTGTGTACAAGTTTTTGTACTGACGGTTTTTCTTGGGTATATACCTAGAAGTGGAATTGCTTAGTCAAATGCTAATCCTGTTTAACTTTCTAAAGAACTGCCAAACTTATTTTCTACAGTGGTGCACCATTTTACATTCCCATCAGCAATGGATGAAGGTTCCAATTTCTTCACATCCTCATCACTGGTTATTTTCCATCTGTTTGATTATAGCTATGCTAGCAGTTGGGAAGGGGTATCTCAGGTGGTTTTGACTGGCATTTCCCTAGGGACTAATGATGTATTGGCTATTCATACATCTTCTTTGGAGAAATGTTTATTCAGAGACCTCCCTATTAATTTCTATGAGCACACAATAATCTAAATAGGAAATCCATGATCAAGAACCAGCTTTCTACCTTCCAATTCAGTATTCTTCCCTGCAACTGTGTGACTGGATGATGTGCAGACTTGTACTTCAAATTCATCTCCCACTAGATGACTCATTAAATAAGGGACAAGCACATATTTTTTCTCCAGCGTTTGGATCTGTAGTGAACATGTACAATTTAAAGCCTTAATGCAATATGATGAAGACACTACCCTCACACACCAACGCGTATGGTTCAACTCAACAAGCATTTATTGACTGCCCACCACGGTAAAGCACTGTGCTAGGTACTGGAGGAGATAACGAGATAAACACCCCCTCAAAAACACCAAAAACACAAAAAAAACAATTCCTGCTCTCTGGCTCACAATCTAGTTTTAGAAGATACACATAGCGCAAAAATTGCCACTGGAATGAAAACAGAGTCGCATTTGAGAACAGGTCACGGAACTTAAATTGCTGTTTAATGAGCTTTTGGCTTTTTACGACTCTAGCACAGCCATTCCACCAGTCCATGTAACATTATGTATCCAACTCTTTAGGAACAAGTTCTCACAGAAGAGTATCTTCAGTATTTAAGAATGGTGGTGCCTGTTTACCAGGTAAACACTATTCTTGTCCTGAAGAACAGGAAAACTCTTTCAGTGTGGTGTTGCAAGAAGCCAACATACCAACAGAAACAATGCTTAAACCCTATCTACTTTCAGCAAAGTCGCAGAGATGTTTCTATTGTAAGACAGAAGTTTTATAAAACCCATTTGAATTTCAGCTTTGAAGCAGTTACTTTCTTCAAAAAAAAAAAAGCATGTTTGGTGATAGGTTTAACGAAGAAAATTGAGTAAGTCTTCCCCTATGAAATTCTTTTCAACCAATATACTAGCAAAAGAGTATTTGAAGTCACATTTAAAAATAATTTAACTACTTTTATTTCCAAGGGTAAGTTTGAGGCTTTTAACTTGGTTCTGTGACCTTCTTCCTGACCCAACATGGCCACTCATCTTTATTCAGTTATGTCTCAATCTAAAACATTTACTGACTTTTGCATAATATTTAAAGAAAAGCATCTCCCACCACGGAGGCTATCCAAAAGAACATTTATTACAAGCTCTAAAGGCAGTTCCAGAAACATGTTGAGCAACAACAGCCTTATTAAGTGAAGGATGATATTCACCAGGATATATTTTTTAAAGCATTTATTTTATAGGCGCACCCCATGCGTTAACTTCCTACCTCAGTTCTACCACTTAAATATTCTGTGTATTGTTTATTTCAACACTCTAGCAAACATGACTTCCTTTTCTGGGTACAGCATTCACTCATAGGCAGTCTCTAGAAGCTAAGCACCACGTTTGCTCTAATTAATCTGAACTACAATTGGATCTAGAATCTCACAGCAAATTAGCTTGTGATGTTGAATTATCACAAGTTTTATCTTGGATCCTCATTTTAAAAAAAGGTACATATTGGTTGAGCTCAAATGGAAGCTGTAAGAAACTAAAGAAACTTTATTTTCAAAAATAGTTGGAATTACGGAAACAAAAATTGCCTTCGATAGTCTGAAGAAAATGTACTTTCCAATTCAAAATTACACTTGAGACTGATGCAGACTTCTCTAGAGCAGAAATGACACTACACTGATTCAAAAGTATATATATTTGAAAAGTCTGCATAAAAATTTAATATGCCTATAGTTAAAATCCTATTGACATATTAAAAAAATTCTAACAGTGGGTCTGGATCAACTGGTATGGGTAGGATTAACCAGCTTTATTTTGTAATGTAAAAAGAGGCTCTGATTAATAAAAGATTTTAGACAATTCTGATTGAATAAAGTCACCAAATTTGAATTTTTCTTATCCTAATCGGTCATTTTACGTAGGCTTCTCTAAATAATAAAGCAACAATCTATCATAAAGTTATTAATAAAATGCATCTAAGTCAAATGTAATAAAATATTTTTATATTATAAAGGACTGCAAGCATCTAATACTAAGGAGAAAAAAAAAAACAAAATTTACAGAACAATCTGATGATTAACACAAGGAAGTCTATCACAAAGCAACTGTAATTTTTCCCAGTTTCAAAAACTAGGGAACGTGCAGGAAGCAAACTGAATATTCCATAGAGCAATAAAAAGTCTCTGTTCAGCTAGAGATACATGAAGATAAAGACATGATATATGCACCTGATGATAAATTACTACAGCAGGAATGAAAAATGAGTTCCAGGTTGACCTGGCACTGTATATACTGGTATGAAAACATAAATCCCCTTTATATCATCAATTACCGGCAAAACCAAAACCAGACCCACTGCCGTCAAGTCGATTCCGACTCACAGCAACACTACAGGACAGAGAACTGCCCCATAGGTTTTCCATGGCTATAAATATTTATGGAAGCAGCCTGCCACGTCTTTCTCCTGCAGAGCAGCTGGTGGGTTCCAACTGCCAACTTTTGGTTTGCAGCCAAACTCTTTAACCACTGTGCCACCAGGACTCCTTGATTACTGGTAACCAGAGCTCAAACTGACTTTCGTTATACAGCAGGCAACAGAAAACAACTCCAAGGATTCTAAATTGATCTAATTTAGTACTGATGTGGAATACTTAATGCCTGATTTGGAAAGCATCCAAAACTGAAATTTATAGACTATTAAAAGTCCTTTACTCTAGTTCAGTTCACAATTCGAATCTGATCACCTGTAATGTTACAATCTTGGATTTGCACAACATCCACAAACACAACCTTGTTCATTAAAAAAAAAAAAAAAAAAAGGCGGTAAACATAACCCTATAGATGCTTACCTCCAAATTTTTTTATAGATGTGAAATTGATGCCCACTGACTTCTTCAAGGTCACAAGGCTAACTGGCACAAGATTCCAGATGTTCTACCTCCCAGTTTGGTGCTCTGTCTCAGATACCAATACCAAAACACTTCTAGGCTAATATATTTGTTTAAACCAACTATCAGGAACAATATTCAAGTGTTTAAGCCTAACAGAAATATAAAATCTTAGCATAAATATGAGTGGCCTAGAATTAAATCAGATTTATGTATTGGAAATAAAACACCATATATAAAAAATAAATGGTATCTATTGATTACCAGACATTAAGTGTTTCATCAGACTTGGACATAACCAATCAGAGGCTCAACCGAGCACTGCTAAGTCTGGATACATTCAAGCTTTGTTAATTTGTACCAAATTTCCTCCATATAGATAGGAACTATTAGGCTTAATTTAAACACTCCTCCATCGTTGACAGCAATCTTATTTCTCAGAATACTTGTACAAGTTTGAAAGAATAATTGGTAAGTTTAGCAACCTGATTCATGCCAAGATGACAGCTCCATGCACAGCAATGCATCTCTAAATGTATTTATCTGTTAGCAGGGGCTAAACCCACCACTTATAATAAAGTTCTCAATACCAACAGGACTCTTCAATAATAACTGTGTGAAAGATAAGCAATCTAAAAAGCATAAAATAATCTAGACAGTACGAAAATGAAATACGGAATAAAACAAAGAATTTTGTGGAAATATTTTCTGTGCAGAAAAAAAAATTGGAGGAATTTGAACATAATTTAAAAAGTTAACTACCAAGTGTGAGAAAACAGTTGTTTCAATGCTATATAAAATAATTATTTCTTAAATTTAACCAAATAAAAATTTCCACTATTCAATCATATTTTGAGATGTACCAAAGCAAACAGTTTCACAAATCTTCGGAAAAAGAGAAAATTAAGGCTAAAAAGGTCAAACACCAAGTGTTCATCATACCTTTTAGTCAATATCGTCTTTGTTAACATGCACCATTTACCATAAGATATACAGGTTTTCCGAATTTTTATTTCAGTTCTATTTAATGTCCTAAACTTAACGCTACTTCTGGATCTAACACACAAAGTAACCTACTAAAACCAATCAAAGTTAAACTTTATTTCTAACTGCCCTGACCTTTGAGATCATCATTTAGGTTTCTAATTGGCATTGTTACCAAGTAGCAGAATAAACTTCAGTACTAAAATATGTACCAGTATGTCATATGAAGTTACTAAAATATATGCAACTAACATTTATATTTAACTACTTTCAATAAGATGGAAAGCACAATGTTCAGGTTTTTTAAGAACATAAATTACATTTATAGATCTAGGTTGTTTACGTTTAGCTTTTGCAGTTTCCAGAAAAACTGGTCCATATTAAGCCAGTCTTAGAAGACCTAAGCTGAAGATTTAAACTTACAGACCCTATAATGCCACCTTTGTTCTATTATTAAGGTAATAACACTACAAAACCCAATCCCAACGCTTCTTTTCCCATGCCTGACCAGAGAGATGCTCTGTCACAGTCTTTCAATTTTTTTGTCTTCTTAATATAAAACCTGAATGACCTTTATGAGTTTGATTTCAGTAGAACACCCACAGATTGTGGGTATCATATTTATTGGGACATATTTTCTTTAATAGGAGATAATCCATGTACTATATCAAGGTACATTATAATAAAATTTTCACCGTATTTCTCCACACTTTTCATACTTTTTAACATTACAATTGGATGGAGGAAGACGAGAATAGTTCTGAAAAGTCTAGCTTTTAAGATATAAAGTTCATTGTGTGCCTTTTGTAATATTTAAATAATTGCAACTATTGTAATCACAAGGGAAATTGTAATAAGAATAATTGCAAAGGAAGCCTTATAGTCAATGGAAGTACAGTACTTTGGATTGGCCAAAACGCATAACTTACAAGAAATCAAAGTAATGCAGTTTAGTTGTTGACCACCTGGATACAGATCTCAAAAAGCTAGCGCTCCGAAAGCTGTACCTGCTAACTTTCCAAAATTACTTTTTAAATAAAGTTCTCAAATTGTAGCAATAAACAAAAACACAAGATACACTTAAACAATACTGCAGTTTATCAAAAGACACATAAGAAATTTCAAACCTTATGTCTTTGGAAGTTATAAAAATCAATGTTTTGGGTAAGTTACAAATATGTCTATAACGCAATTATTTGCATTACTCTACTAATGTTAATGACAGCTATATGGTCAGGTTTTTTAAAAAACACCAAAAACATAAAAATACTTAGCCCCATTATTTACCTGTAGAATCTGCTTATTTATACCTAAATTTCAGCATTTAATATATCGTCATTGCTCTAATTTTGAAAGTCACATCCAAAGGATAAGGCAAAACCACCTACAAATTGGCGTATCTGTTTATTTCTCAGTTTGTGAAAATGTCCTTAATTTGTTGATGCAGCAAACAGATTTCAACTCTGATTACTATGCAAAAAGAACAGAAGATAATCTGCTTTGCAATGAACTTTATACAGTTCAACTGCATACAGGCAACATGCTATATGAAAAAATTACTAACTGAACTACAGGTATTAAATACTGAAAAAAGTTAACAGTTTATCATAATTTATTTTATTTAACAATCTAAGAAGTTCGCAGCCATCAGCAGTTCCAGTGCAATTTCAGGTGCAATTGGGAATTCGGGAATCTCGGTGGAGCTGTTAGTGTAGCGAACCTTGTAGGTAAAATACATGCATACTTTTGATAGCACGTGGGAAGGGATCTCTCTAAAATTGACCTCATTGGTTTCATTCTCAGCAAACTGACCTGTAAAACAAAAGTAAGATGTTAAAGGAATGAACCTAACTAGCATCAAATGAAATATTTAGCTTCGATTATAGAGTATAAGCAACATAAAAAATCCTTATTGAGATTCATCAAGACTGCATTTTTAAATTCTAATGCTTTCTCAGAGATTGGATTAAGGAGCTTTGCCTGAGACGTAGGTGGCATAATTATTCAGGGTGAGCAGAACGGAAAAAGCTAAATTGTTGTCTTACAAGAATCAGTCCAGGGAATCACGTCTTTACGGGTTATCAGGAGCCCGATGCTATACTGAATTGTCATATAAAAACAGTTAGGACAAATAACAGATTTTCTGATTGTGCTTTTCTAGTAGTAAGCGCATATATAAAACACAAAATAATAAGACTTCTTTTTGAGAAAGATACTATTTTTAAAAAACCTTTCCAGAAAAGGAAATCCATGGTTTCCTCCGTTAGTTTTTAGAAATATGATCATGTTTATGGGATATCATAAGCCACTTCCCTTTGTTCAATAACACTTCATGAACCGTTTTTTGGTCATCCCTAAAATTTCTTTAGCTATATGAACATTACATCATTAAGCCTTTACTCATAGGGACAAATGTTTCTTAGCAGTCTAGCACTAGCACTATGTACTAGACACAAAAGGCATCTCACACCTAAAAATATACTTCTGAGAATGCAATATATTTTTTTAAAGTTTCCTAATAACTGTCTATTGGTTGGAGGTGGACTGGGGAGGCAGAAGGAGAGGGGGACTCAGCAAATAATTCACAACAATGAGTAAGATTTGGTTTGCCGAGAACTATAACTCCCTTTCTTCAATAGTGTATGAAGTATTACCAATAGGCACTTATTAAGCCTTTGATTTACTGAGGTGAAATTCGTAACATACAATTAGCCACCATAGAGCATACAATTTCAGTGACATTAAGTACCTGCACAGTGCTATGCAATAACCCCCTTATCTAGTGACAAAACCCTTTCCTAACCCCCACCCAAAACACTCCCTACCCATCATCAGTTAGTTCCCATTCCCCTACCCTTGTACCTAGCAACCACCACTCCTATGTATATGCCCGAAGGAAGCTAAAACAGATATTCAAACAAATACTTGTGTATGAATGATCATAGCAGCACTATTCACAATAGCCAAAAGGTGAAAATAGCCCAAATGTCCAAAACTGATGAACGGATAAACAAACTGTGGTATATTCACACAATGCAGTATTATTCAGTCATAAAAAGGAGCCAAGTACTGATACATGTTACAAAGTGGATGAACCTTGAAAACATGCTAAATCAAAGAAGCCAGACACAAAAGGCCTCATACTGCATAATGCCATTTATACGGAATATCCAGCCTAGGCAAACCCACAGAGACAGAAAGCACAGCACTGGCTGCCAGGGGCTGGGGGACACAGAGTGAGGAGGGACTGCTTAATGAATATGGTTTTTCTTCTGGTTGATAAAAATGTTTTAGAACTAGATACAGGGGGTGGTTGCAAAATACTGTAAATGTACTGAATGCCATGGACTTGTACTTTTTAAAATGGTTAATATTATGCTATATGAATTTTACCTCATTTAAACAAATGGGGGAAAAAGGGAAAATGTTAAGAATAAAAATTTGGGAGGTGGTAACTTCTATAGATAAACTTCATATGCTATCAGGAGCACATATCACTAATCAGAGTCCTGTGGTTAATAACCATAGAAACTAATGTAGAGAAGCAAACCTTCCTACTACAAAATAATCAATTCAGGCTTATTGAAACTTGTAGAGTAAATAACTGAAAAGAGGAAATGACCGAACCAATATTTTCCAATTTAACATAATCATGCAGTAATGGTAGAACAGTTACTCTCTCCTTTTTAATGTCATGAGTTATTTAATTCAAATTAAAAACACATTCATCAAACATTAAAACTTAAGCTATATGAAGATAAAATACAGAAGTGTTCCCACCTGGGCCGCTCAACATGGCTTTTATTGTGCCTGAGGTTAGTGCATGTTCTCTTTTTACAATAAACTCATGGCCATCAGAAGATATCAATTTGACATACATGGCATCCGGGCCTTCACAGCCACCGTAAGTTTTCTCCTCTCCATCTAAAGTAAAGTAGTGAAATGATTTTTTAATCACATAATGTATTAAAAACAAACACAAACTGTGTGATATATTTACAGCAATGACCAAAAAAAAAAAAAAAGTAGCTGCTTAGGCGGCTTGTGTACAACCGAACACCTCGTGGGAGCTGGTTCCTTGGTTGGAGGGTTATGCTTTCATGGGACATCCCAGTTAACTGGCCTAATAACATGTTTAGCGCTTCTGTTCTACCTCCTAGTTCACTGTGCAGTGCCTGGGGTCTTGAAAGCTTGCAAGTGGCCATCCAAGGCACAACAATTGGTCTCTATTCACCTGGAGCAATGAAGGAAGAAGGAGAGTCAGAAACGGAATGTGTGGCTAATTGCCTCCATGAACAATTGCCTTCTCTGACATGAGACCAGTAAGAACTCGATGGGCCAATGATGCCCGGCTACCATTACTGAACATTTTGATCAAACATTCTACAGAAGAATCCTGATCAAAAGGTGGAAAATGCAGAAAAGAATTTAAGATTCTCATGGAATCCAGACTTGCTGGAGCCATGGAGGCTGGAAACTACTGCCCTGAGGTAATCTTTAAACCTTAAACCAAAAATATCCTCTGAAGTCTTCTGAACACCAAACAGTAGTTTAGCTTAACTAGTAAAGAATATCTGCCTTGAGCATTATGCCTTTTAAAATCCATCTAACTGGGATCAAATTGACAGCCCCATCTCAAAACATTAGATAGGAACCTTAGGGGCCAGTAAGTTTATGTTAATGGGGGAGGAACAAACTGGAAAAGGAGGAAGAGAATGGTTGCACAACTCAAAGAAGGTAATCAGTGTCAGTGAACTGTACATGTAGAAAATGTAGATGTTTTGCTGTGTATATTCTCAACAACAACAACAAAAATTATAATAAATAAATAAACACGTATACCAAAGTTCCTGTCTGAGGAACTCAGAACCAAAGCATTTCTGGAGAATAATAACAGATTCAAAGGTTTAAAATTCTAGATATAGAAATCTGAAGGTCCTGACTATAGCTATAGAAGTAACATTTAAGCTATCCTCTATGATAAATGACTCTTCTGGATATTCTTGTTTCCCATCTGCCTTACACTTCTTCTAAACATTAAAAACTTTTCAAATCATGCTCTAACTCATTAATAAATAGGTTGGTCTTCAATGTAGTAGCTAAGAGCATGGGCTCTGGACTGGAACTGCTTGGATTCAAATATGGGCTCACAACTTATTTTACCTCTCTGTGGTTTGATCTCCTCACTTTTAAAATTTAGGTAATACTAAACAAGGCAAACACTTAAAACAGTGCCTGGCATCCATGCATCCATGCATCCACCCACCCACCCATCCACCCACCTGTCCACCCATTCATCCATCCATCCACCTATCTATCCACATACACACAAATGCTATATAAATTTGGTAGTATTATTTTATTGCTGTCATTTGGTTAATTTAGGCCAAGAATAGATAATTGGAAGAGCCCCTGCAGTGCAGTGTTTAAGTGTTTAGACTGCTAACTGAAAGGTCTGTGGTTTGAACCCACCAGCCTCTCCATGGGAGAAAAAATGTGTCAGTCTGCTTCCATAAAAATTTACAGCCTTGGGAACCTTAAGGGGGAGTTCTACTCTGTCATATAGAGTCGGAATTGACTTGACAGCAATGGACTTTTTTGATACAGACAATTGTCAACTAAAGAGACTCAACATGCAGATATTTCCATGTGCCCTTTAACTAGGGATTTTATGGGTGTAAATCAGATAAAGTTCAGGAATGTCTGAAAGTACTGGCAAAAGTGGTTAAAAAAAAGTATGCAGGTGATGGAGGCAGTTTAAGTTTCATTTTTTTCTTTCATTCATGAGGTCAAACCATTTCACTAGTGAAATATGACAGAATTTTAATTTTTATGGTTACCAATGGTCTGAAAGAAGGTTTCTTAAGGCTTATTCTAAAACCTTAGGAAGTCATGTAAAGGAGAAGTATAGAGAAGGGTGAGCTGAAGTACTGGTCAGACAAAAGTATCTATTTACTACTCATTCACTTGTTAACATTTAATTTAGAAATCTGTTCTAAATCTCCGATTCAAAAATATTGCCTATATACTATTGCTACCAAAAATGTTTAATGTGAATTAATCACAGGGTGTTACAGAGTGAACTGTGTCCCCAGAAATGTCTGTCAACTTGGCTAGGCCATGATTCCCAGTACTGTGTGGTTGTCCTCCATTTTGTGATCTGATGCATTTATCCTGAGTTGTAAATCCCAACCTCTATGACGTTAATGAGGTAGGATGTAATCTACAGGATTAGGTTGTATCCTGAGTCAATCTCTTTCGAGATATAAGAGAGTGGCAGGTAGAGAGGAGGGGGACCTACTACCGCTAAGAAAGAAAAGCCAGGAGCGGAGTGACTCCTTTGGACCCAGGGTCCCTGCACTAAGAACCTCCTAGATCCAGAGGAAGATTGATGAGGACCTTCCCCGACAGTGGACAGAAAGAGAAAGTGTTCCCCTAGTGCTGGTACCCTAATTTTGGACTTCTATTCTCTGTGCGAGAATAAATTTGTTTGTTAAAACTATCCACTTGTGGTATTTCTGTAACAGCAGCAGCACTAGATAACTAAGCACTAGATATGTAGCAGCACTAGATATCTAACACACAAGGAAACAATCAGACAAATCTAAATTGAGGGGTAGCCTTTGAAACAATTGGCCTGTTCTCTTAAAAAAGTCAGCCATTAAAGACCCCACCCTACCTCCAAAATAGCAGGGAACTGTTTTAGATTAAAGGAGACCATAAGGAGACAAGTTAATACACTAAGTGATCCTTGATTAGATCCTGAATTAAAAAAAATAATAAACCCTGCTGTAAAGAACACTGTTAAGTCAACTGGGAAATTCTGCATACGGATTAAATTAGGAGTTGCATCCTGAAGTATTTAGGTGTAAAGTGTTATATGTGGCAAAGAAAAAGGCACACACACAGGAAAAGCAAATGTGGCAGAATGTTAACAACTGGTGAAAGCTATGTAAGTGTTGAGCTATTACTCTTTCAACTTTTCATAATAAAAAGCTGGGGAACTCATAAAGATCTAAATAGCTTCTAAATTATAGACTACTCAAACATACAAATTTTTAGCAGTTTTTGCCAATCTCTAAAAACAAAAATAAAAATATTTAACCACTGTTTCATATGTCTGTTGGGAAAGTTAAATTTCTTAATAAGGCATAATTTCTCACTAGGAATCACAAATTGGATTTGGAACAGCAACACTGCTGATCTGCCTTTCAGGAATATATAGTAAACAGAAGCTGTTGATTAAAACAACATCTAATTTCAGTGTACTCTGACCATTTTCTTACTTGCATTCACTGACTTCAAAGGTTTATCTTTAGTTGAGAAGAAAAACTAGCGTTAGTCAAAACATAAAATAACCTTCATATAACTTACCCATTATGCTCTTATGAATTCTACTTCGCTTCCAGAGGAACTTCAGTAGCTTCCTGAAAATATAACAATGCAATATTAAGATTAATGCTGCTATAGAGATGTTTCTACCATTGTTATTTAATCTGTCCTTGGTGTTATAAGGGACTGTCTCCCTCCTTATTCGGCAAGAGTGTACCACTACCACACAGCAAAAGCATCATATTTCTGTGAGTCTTCAACTGAAGAGTTCCAAAATGCTTTGTGAGCTTGAGCAATTGGGGCTCTTGAATTGGAGATTACTTAAAGCATTAAAACCCTCTGCACTAAAAGGGATGGGGTAGAGACTGGAAAGAGGAATGAGGGGACTTCTGGAGGCTGATAATGTTCTACTAGTTGAGCTGGGTGGCAATTCCATAGGTACCTTCACTTTGGAATAATTCATAGCTTTGTATACTTACGATCTGTATACTTTTCTGTATGTACATTGTAAAAAAGTTTAAAAATTCTTTGCATCCCAGGACAACATACCATAATATATAGACCACCTCTATGACAATTCAGTACTGCGTTGTGATAAAAGCTAGGCAGACAGGAATTCAAACCACCATTCTTCCATTTACTAATTAGCTTAGAAACTGATGAGTCTGACAAATAGCTCATTTTGTTTCTCCTTTCTTCTGACTGTTTCCACTCCCATTAGAGCTTCTAGCAATGGGTGTGGAAACATAATACACAAACATAAACTGATGGGGGGGGTGCTGAGGAGGAAGTTGTAAAGTATGTGACATGTTAAGAATTATAGTCAGTTACAACCACTATGGAAAATGGTATGGAACTTCCTCAAAAAACTAAAAATAGAACTACCTTATGATCCAGCAATCCGACTTCTAGGTATATGCCCTAGAGAGCTAATACTAAAGACACAATCAGACACATGCACACCTATGTTCGCTGCAGCACTATTCACAAGAGCAAAAAGACAGAAACAATCTAAGTACCCATCAGCAGATGAACGGATAAACAAAATGTGGTACAAACATACACTGGAATACTGTGCAACTATAAAGAATAATGATGAGTTCTCAAAATATATTATAATGTGGATGAATCTGGACGACATGATGCTGAGTGAAACAAGTCAATCACAAAAAGACAAACACTGTATCATCTCACTATTATAAAAAGACAAGAATAGGTATACATATTGTAACCAACAATACCTGGTGGTTACCAGGGATAGGTGGGGGGGAGGGGTTTCACTCTCAAGATAGTAGACACTTGTTATTACTGGTAATGGGAAATAAAACACCAAATGTGGGTGAAGTGTGCACAGTGTGATTAAGTAAATGATATCACTAAGAAGTACACAAGAAAAAAGGATGTTTTTGGTAAATGCTTTGACATATACAACTGTGTGACAACTAAAAAATAGGAGTGCGATTATGTGTGTATGTATGTACACATACAACCGTGTAGGTATGTATATGTGTTTATATATATATATATAT